AGATAGCGAGAGAGAGAGAGAGAGATATATACATGACCGATGCCTTTGTGCCCGGGGTCAGGCGGGGTTTTGTCCTCATCCCCACGACGCCAAACGATGGGGAAAGTGATGATGCCATGCGCCAACGCATGCAGCAGTGCATTCGGCGAGTTGCCGCCGCCAATATCACACTGGGTCGCAAGCCAGACGGTAACATGGCCAGGCTTTGGCTCACGATCAGCCAACCACCGGAAAGACGACGCCGAGCTGCTCTGGCGGGGAAAGTGAAACGCTTGATCATTGAGGCCGGGGGATCCTCGACTTTGCCACAGATTGAGCCCGAGTGGGCAACGGGTACTGTGTGGTTCCGAGACCACAAGGTCAGCTCCGGTTCATCATCGTGCCCACCAAACTCGGCGCCAGCCGGATGCGGGTGGATCGACCTCAAGACCATTGCAAAGTTGATTGGAGTTCCCGCTGGTCAGCTGGAAAAAACCTGGGAACCCCTCCTTGGGGCTCTCCGGTGACTAGACACCGAGTTCACCGGCAATGATGAGGGGGGAGAACCCCTACCGTCTCACACACTCCGCGCTGCTGATCGGCCTCAAGAAGAAGCCGCTTCCTTGCACTGTGCGACCTGGAATGTCGGGGGGATGAGCCCGGAAAAAACTCTGGACTTCCTCACCAACTTTCGGGGAACACCCGAACTGCAGAACCTTCAGATTGTCCTTCTCCAAGAGATTACGACCACTGGAGGTCCTCACTTTGACCAGAACGAAACGTGGATGCTGATCCACGGCAAGCTGACAAATGAATGGAGAGGTTGCGCTGTTGCTTTCCGTAAAGTCCTAGGCACTCATGAGCACACGCGCATCCTGAAAGCCGCTATCACCGTCACTCTGCGCAGTCCCGACAGCCGTACCCTAGGGATTGTTTCGGGGCACATTTCCCATAACTTTACCATTGCCCAGACCGCCAGCTGCCTTGCCGACTGGGATGCATCACCCAGCCTCACCCTCGATAGGATCATTCTGGGGATGGATGCTAATGAGACCTTCCTGCACCCCGGGGGCCACCTCGGCAAGACCACTCTCTCGTGCACAGGCAGAGGGGAGCAAATCCTCCAATGGTGCATGGAGCAAGGCATTGTGCTGCCGGCGCAGGATATCGAGCAACCATCATACTACCCCTACAATACTGCCATGTCTCCCCGCAGGCTTGACTACATTGCCACACGTGGCATCCACTCATTGCAAGCATGGGTGGGTCAACACAGAGATAGAGCCAGTTCTGACCATGAGCCTGTTTTTTGCTGTCTGCGACTCCCCGTTAAAAACCTGCCTAAGATAGGTGTCCTTTGGTGCGCCCGCCAGCTCGCATCGGGGGCAGAAGCTAAGTTGCATGCACATTGCTCGCTTGAGGCGGACCTGCACTCAGCCATAGCCAATGCAGCCAAACTGATCACGGTGCCAGTGCACCGATCCCTCAAGTTCCAAGAAAGCAGCACACTCAAACGCATGCGAAGACAGGCGAGGGAACTCAAGCCGGGGAATGAAGCCCGCCAAGCTTGGAGTTCAGTGCACAAAACGCTGCAACAGGAACGAAAAGGTTGGAGACGCCTCCTGGCTGATAAAGCCGGGGAACAAAACTGGGACGCCCTTCGCTCGCTCAAGAAGAAGGACTCCAAAACAAATTGGGCAGACGCTTTGCTTGATGACCCTGCATGGTCCACCAAGCTCGATGCACACATGCGGAGTATCTTTTGCAAAGCCGCTCCAGCAGCAACCCGGAGTGCCATGGCACTCCTGCATGCAGAAGCCTCAGCCCTGTGCAAATGCACCCCATGGCGTCCTTTCAGCGAGGCCGAAATGAGAATCACAATGGCACGGTGGAAGAACCACCGCGCCACGGGTCCGGATGGCATCGCGCTCGAGGCCCTCAGACTCATGTTTGAGCATCCTGCGTGGCGCCCTAAGATTGCCGAGTTGCTTAACGACGGGTTGTACAAGGGTCATCTCCCCCCTTTGATCATGCAGGGGGCCTCGGTGCTCTTGCCAAAGTGTGTCCAGCCCCTCTCATGGTCCGACACGAGGCCGATTACCCTCTCAAGTGCCCTGCTGAAGTGGACGTCACAGCTGCTCTTACTCAGGGGGGTCCCTATGCTGCAACAATGCTGCCAACATCAGTGGGCCAGCAAAGGTAAACAGGG